AGAACCAATAAACCCCCTGTTCTACCGGCCGGCTGCGAGTCACCTCTGGCTGAGGATGGGGTGCAGGGCCCGGTGACCCCCCCTTGGCGACACCCACCAACCCGCTAGACCCCACCCCCAGTCAGAGGTGGGAACAGAACACAGGGATCCTGCTCTGTCCCCCTCTCCCAGAGCGGGGGACAGATCCCAGCCGCCGGGACGTGGCCCACCCACCTGCTTGGGGTGGCTGGCCTGCGAGGGGTGGGGGCTACGCCCGGCCCATCGCTGGTACCTGCAGGGTCTCGGTGGTGCTCAGCAGCTCGCGGGGGTGGTAGCAGGCGAAGAGGGAGAGGTTGAGGAAGGCGCAGGCCACCAGGGTGTAGAAGTAGAAGGGGAAGAGCTTGCTCTGGACCAGGCCGAAGGTGTGTCGGCTCACGCCCCGGATCAGCACAAACCCTGAGCCAGGAGGAAATGAAGGCACGCAGCGAGCGTCAGGGCCATGGGGCTGGGAGCCAGGACGCCTGGCTCGGGGAGTCAAGTCTAGTGGTTAGAGCAGGGAGCCAGGACTCGGGGGTTCTGCTCCTGGGTCTAAGAAGGGAGTCAGGGCGGGGAAGAGGGGCCAGGCGTCACTCCCCTGGATCTGAGAGTTCGGGGGGCAGGGTGGCCCTTCCCAGATGGTTGGACAGCTTGGCACAGCTTCCCCAGGCCCTGCGCTTTGAGGGTCAGCAGGGACAGCCTAGGAGATTACTGGGGCGGGGGTGGGGGGGCTGACCCTGCACTTAGCTGCAGCAGTGGGAGCTGCAGGAAGTGTGTCATTCACGGGGGGGAGGGGAGGCAGGGCCTGGGGGAAGAATTGGCCCGGGGGTGGGAGGAGGCAGAGTGGGGACGGGGACCCTCGGGGCCACACTGTCAGCAGCAGGCCCCACCTGAGATGAAGGTGACCCATATCTGCATGCCCCAGGCCAGGGACAGGACGAAGAGCTGGGCGACTTTGGCCAGGCTGCTGGGCTCCTCTTCCAGCGACATCTCTGCTGTGCTTCGACCAGGAGGCTGCGGAGGGGGAAGAGCCCAGGATGAGGCACAGAGCGGAGACGGTCCCAGCTCTGCCGCTGTCCGGCTGGGCAAACAGAACCCAGGTCCCTTGGGTCCCATTCCCAGGTTGGGGCTGTGAGGCCTCCCCCGGCAAGGTCAGCACCCCCAATACAAAGGTGGGGAAACTGAGGCACAGAGCGATCCAGCAACTTACAAAACTGACCCGGGGGAAGAGCCCAGGATGAGGCACAGAGCGGAGACGGTCCCAGCTCTGCCGCTGTCCGGCTGGGCAAACAGAACCCAGGTCCCTTGGGTCCCATTCCCAGGTTGGGGCTGTGAGGCCTCCCCCGGCAAGGTCAGCACCCCCAATACAAAGGTGGGGAAACTGAGGCACAGAGCGATCCAGCAACTTACAAAACTGACCCGAGAGTGGGTGAAAGCGGCCAAGCAGCTGGCACGCTGAACTTGGTGGCCCGGCCTGGAGGCAAGAGGAGCAGGGAGGCCGGCCCCTTGTGCATGTGGCTGGCAAGTGGCAGGAGGAGATAAGGGTGTGGGGGCG